TATATATATATATATATATATATGTGTATGTATATATATATATGTATGTGTATATATATATATATATGTATATATATGTGTATGTATATATATGTATGTATATATATATATATGTATATATATGTATATATATGTATGTATATATATGTATATATATATATGTATATATATGTATATATATGTATATATGTATATATGTATGTATATATATGTATATGTGTATGTATATATATGTGTATATATATATATGTATATATATGCACACAGATTACACCCTCAGAGGTCAAGAAGATCAGCAACACCCAGAGTGGTGTGTTTGATCGGGAAGAAAAGGAGCCTCGTCAAAAAAATTAGGCAATCCATTCACAAACCACAAACCAATTTTTTTATTTTTCCTTTTGCAATTCTGTATACAATGGTTGAAATAGCAATTAATACAATATTATCAGATACATTATTCGTAGCATCGCAAAAAACATTTTACCGGAGCCAAACGATTATTACAATCTCGGATTAAAATCAATTTCCTCTCCTACTTCCACATGTACAATTTTTTTTCTTATTTTATTTTTATTTAGAAAACAAATAAACAAAAATAGAAAAACTGAAACAGAAACAAAACTGTACGTGTCATCAAAAGAAAAGCAATAACCAAAACGTTCTGTCCGTCAGTCTGTTGTCAGACGTTACTCTGAAACTCTTCTGAAATTTTTCAGGCGGAAACCCAATTTATCTCGGGTAATGTTTTGCTGAGGCGTGATAACGCCACAGCTGTCTGGATTTTGTATGTAACTCTCTACCAGATGTTTCACACTGTCAAAGTTAATTTTTCTGCAGCTATCGTGGGTCTGGGTGATCCCCTTGACATGCATCGCCACTCTGCCAGATTGCGTTCGATAGGCGTGGCTTTTTCGGTCCTACGTCTACAAATTCGTGAATGGTATCGCCTCCCAGCTCATCCGTGAGCTGTAAGGAAAGGAACGCAAAGTAACTGATGTCATACTGTCCTGAAAAAAGGTACTTAAAAAACTCTTCCGGTTTTGTGATGAGGGTCGTAGATTTACTCGCTGTGCAAACTTACCCCAGAAGCTTTTGAGGCACATTTTAGACATTTGTCTTTTGAAAGGGTTATTAAGAATTTTGTCACGATCTAGCTGGATGCCCTGGTTAGCATGGTAATCTCCGATGTACTTTTCTCTGCTTTCCTCATCTAGAGCATCCGCGGGTACCCCTCAGGCCTCTTGCTTTCATTTTAAGAATGTGTTAATGTAGCCTTCAAAGATAGAATCGCTCTGTTCCTCAAAATGCCATACTTCTGGACACGCAATATCTATTTTCTAAAGCCTTAAGAAATTCAGGGGTAGTCCAGGTGCCGGTCAAAGCTCTGTCTTCCTCACGGTGCATGCAAAGACCGTTCTGATGGTTGGTCTCTGCACATGTGCAACAAAGAGTAAACACTAATTTCCTTTGAAGAGTTCTGCAAGGGAAGATTGGCAGATATAGATTTTCGAGGAGGGTGCACAACGGCATTGATCAGAAATCCTTCTGGATCATTTTGGGGTGGCCGGTGGGATAGGTAAAGTTTGCATTGACGAAAGGATAGAAGGATGTGACGTCTACATACAGAAACAACCGATAAATTCCCACACTGATTTCAAACCGTCAATCTCTGCATAACCATCTACAACATATTGCCCCAAGTATTTTCTCACCCCGATTCAAGGCATGCTGTATAGCTATGTTTTGGTCCAGCTAACCACTGGATGAATTGAATTGACGATGGTAGTTGTCTTGTGAGGGGATGACCAGTGTTTTTGGAGGGACGAACTGTTTTAAAGACTTTAATGCAGGCTGAAGTTATTGTAGTGCAACTGAGAGGATCAACGCCTGTCTCAGAGATGTATTTGTTGCAAAACTTTGAGCATGTAGTTGCTAGGATTTTGGTGTCGCCGTAAAGAATGGCCTCTGTTTGAAAATCAAACTTTTTGCTTGCTTTGGTTTCGTACCAAACATCAAATTCTCGCCTTTTCTTTTCTGACATTTGGTCTATGCCATATTTTTCTTTGGGTGGGTAGGGACTGTGGTGGAAAATATTCCTATACCCGCTTTGCGTGAGTCTTTTAATGCTGAAATACATAATACCAAAAACCAGGTTGTCTTTTAAGTATTTATTCTCTGCCCAGAGAAGGTTCAATCATCACAACAGAATGCGTACAGTCTCAGTGAGGAATAACCAAGAAAAAAGTGAACACGCTTTCTTTATACAGAATGAGCAAAGGTGGGGGCCGATGGCCAATGTTACAGACATTTTGGTCTCAGACTTTTGGTCTCAGACTGATCGGAACAACAATGAAAAACAAATGGCCAGCAACCAAAACAAACAAAGGCCTAGAAAATGGAACATTCTCATACAACACAGTTAGTTATCTATGTGAACAAGGGATAATTCTTCTTTTGCACAACAGAGACACGATGAAGTTCAACAAAGTTCAGAGCATAATTACTTGTGCATGAATAAAATATACTGAGTAGAAATATATACTACGTAAAATATTACCATTACAGGACCTATGTAGTTTAAAATCTCCGCTGAGCTGAATAGGTGTGAAAAATAACCTTTGTGTCGACCTTCTTCTGGCAGTCTGAGTTCTGCATCACAACAGTGGCGCCAACCGCATGGTTAAGAATGAGAGTGAGTCAATGTATTTCTGACCAAAGCTCTCATCTTCAAACAGCAGCACCTTGCTACCTTGCATGATTCATTTAGGCGTTCTTCCCTGATTGACGAGATATCTGAGTAAAAGATAACCGTCAAACCCTTTGGAATTGTGACCAAGAAACACGTGGTCTTTGTATTTCCTTGTTCTGAAATGACAGAAAACGTTTCCTACACATTCTAGACCCCAGGAACTCCATTTTACACCTCCTAAAGTCTCTGTACTAACGTAAAAGGGAACGAGATAGATGATGGTCTTCATAGATCTCCTTTCACCGGACAAGGTACATTTTTTAGCTTCACATTTGTGTTTTGAGTCTCCTGAGATAATGGGCCTGTAGTAAAACCTTTTGCACTTTTTAGTAATATCGCAAACGCTAATCCACTCATTGGCTACATGGTGATATTTTGATGTTTTGAGTGTAATCGTGCAGAACGGGGAGCAACAGAATTTATTACAATCACGACACAAGACCAGTTTTTCAATCTGTTTTGTACATTCTGCTGTAGAACATACAATACAATGACCGGTGCATTGATGGCTTACGGAGCTTGAGTAACCTGTGTAACAATATTCACACACATATTTTGCACCCAAGAACTCTTTAAAATTGACAATACTGTAATAGTGGCTTCGGAAAAGGAAGAGAAACACAGTTTTTGGGTGCGGCCCCTCGAATGTTTTGGAATTTGGAGAGACTCCGTTCACCACCCGATATATACCGGTTGTATATAATTGTCCTCCAATTATATACAAATGTTCTATGGAACAATGACTCATTTTAACTCCTGCCACCTAAAATTGTCTGATGTTACTATTTCTAAGTTACATAACAATAGTAGGGTAGGAATTTAGCATATTTTTGTTTTGCTATTTTGCGTATTTACCCAGTAATAGAACTTTTGGTCCATTCATTTGACGCCTTGTCAAAGAGAATGAGGGGGAAATGACACAAAGATTTTAAAAACTTAATGTATTCTGGGCTTTTGAGAAAACATACAGGGCTGGAGCCTCAGAAGTATACATTTGCAGTAAAGAAAAATGTTAAACAAGCATAAAACCTTTGTCAGAGCACAATAAAATACAACTTCTTACGACTTACTCAAGCAGCAGTTACATTCCACTCCACTAGATGTCACAAACAATAACCCACGGCTGTGCTGGTTAAGGATTTTATTTTGAAGGTCCTGACCGGAACAACCGGCTTTTCGTTAGCTGGGAAGATTGTACTTTTTTGTAGCTACGAGAGGCGTACATCAAACAAACTCAACAATACAGACTGATTATAATGGCTGGAACGGCTTCAGTAGCTGGCGAAGTGTTCGTCGATGCTTTGCCATATTTTGACCAAGGTTACGATGCAGCAGGTGTGAGAGAAGCGGTGAGTAAACAGGGAGCTAACGTTAGCTAGCCGCAGCGTGTTTGCTAATGTAACCATGCTTAACCGAGACGGACACGGCACACTATACATTATTAATGGGACACTGGGCAGTTCAAAGCTAACGTTACGGCATTTAGTTTGTCCACATGCTAGTGTTTAGCACACTCATTGGTTAAATGAAATATTATGCTAACGGTAGATAACGTTAAAGTTAGCGTTTCAATGTAACGTTAGCGTTAGCTTCCTGCTAGCCTGTGTAGCATTGGTCAGAGGAAGCCACATCCCGCTTAGAAAATTAAAGGAACAAATCAGGTTAGACCATAAGTTAGTAGTTCAGGGTCTTTATTATCAGTGATGGCGTGGAGTGCTAGGCTGTATTAATGTTATGTTTTTCCTACTTTCCCTCTTAATGTGTTATCAGCTTCTATTTATTTGAACCATATTACTACAGCACAACAACGAAACAAAGTCTCCAAACTAGCTATATTTTTAGAACAGGTCCCAAGTGACACACAGTAAACTTTTGGCCTTCTGGGGCCTTTTGGCCTTTTGCCTGGTTTATCCAGTTTAGCACTGACACGTTGCATTGTTAATCCAAGTAAGATGCAGTGTACATGGCTTCAGTTTAGGGGAGAACAGAGACTATTTTCACAGCAGACATTTGCACACAACTTGTCATAGAAGGTAAAGCATGGGTGTGATTAATAACAGTAATGATACTGTTTGGCACCTGATTTAGGAGGCACATTACATTCATCAAAGAAAAGAAAAATTGAGCTCTGAGCTCGTAATTATGACTTGATGATGAGATCATAACATAGACAACAGAAAAAGTACCATCAGTATGAGTCAAGCTGACGTTAAACTAATCCATCATGCAAAAGCAATGTCGTATAATAATTCCATAAGAATTATGCATTCAGTGTCTGTGAAGTATACTCTGTTGTGGAGTATAGTTGATCTTCCTTTTGTTTCCCTTAATAGGGTGCGTTTAAACCTTTGAATAACCTTTTGTCCTCTAGGCTGCAGCATTGGTGGAGGAAGAGACCAGAAGATACCGGCCGACCAAGAACTACCTGGGCTACTTGCAAACACCCGACTTCTCTACTTTTGAGGTGAAAAACTCCTCAGACCTCTGACACCCTTTTCACATCGCAACCGGTGTGACGGAAATAAGAGCTAATTTTTCCTCTCACCCATTAGACGGAGATCATGAGGAATGAATTTGAGCGGCTGGCGGCCCGGCAGCCCATGGATCTCCTGAGCATGAAGAGGTAAACCTTCACACACTGCAGGAGTGTTTACAATTAAAGCAGCAGAATGCCTGAATCAATGGCCTGCATGTCTCTATGGGCACCTAATACATACACACACACACACACACACAGTCATTGAAAAATACTGCTGCGTCCAACAGTCTGATAGTTATACTTTTTGCTCATTTGCCTCGGGTAAGAGTATACACGTATAAATTAAAATACATTAGTGAGTGAGGTACTGCAATGTTTTCAGTGGTGGATATATTTTAAGCTTTTCTTGTTAATTCGCTTTAGGATTCCCTTTGAAGTCTAACTGCTTTTTGAAAAGTAAACTTAATCCTGTAACGAACCAATGAGCGAATTCAGTTCATGGAAACAGGCTAAGAAGTTACAAAATGTGCCACAGGGCATTTGTGCTGCCACTAGGCAAACGGCAGGGTGGGGTGAGTGAGTTAACAATACTGAGACACGCCACAATCCTGTAACATCACACTAATACACTGATTTAAAGCTGCGATTTATTATTTTCATTATCGATTAATGTAGTAATTATTTCCTTGAGTTGGTACAAAATGTTAACGAATAGCAAGAAGTAAAGTCTTCAAATGTCGTGTTTTTTTTTTCAACCAACAGTCCAAAACCCAAAGATATTCAGTTCACTATCATAGCAGACTACAAAAAACAGAATCATATTTCTGAAGATCGAACCTGTGAATTTTGCCTTTTTTTTTTTTTTTTTTTTTTTTTTTTTTGCTATTACTTCTAAGTATTAACAAATATTCCAAATAGTTGTCAAATCATTCTCCGATTATTGACGAATTGATAATTTCACTAATTGTTTCAGCTCTCAGCTAATTGTGTTTTTGTGTGGAGGGGATTCAAATGTGAACTCTTTGAACAAACCCCTTGCTGCTGTAAGAATATCAGATGTTAAATCAAGTGGAGTTTCATGTCGGTGCTCATTTATAAAAACCCAAACTGTAATAGATAATGCCAACAATTGTTAGTGTCGGCTGCAGTTATAACTCCACTCAACCATTTTGAAATGATGGCATGGGTGTATTTTTATTTGTGCTTCTCTTCCTGTGGAGGTATGAGCTGCCAGCACCCTCGTCAGGACAGAAGAACGACATCACGGCGTGGCAGGAGTGTGTGAACAACTCGATGGCCCAGCTGGAGCACCAGGCCGTCCGCATCGAGAACCTGGAGCTCATGTCGCAGTACGGAACCAACGCATGGAAAGTCTACAACGAGTACGTGACGGCAGTCGTTTCTCACAGACATTAACTCCGTGCATTATTAGTCTAAAGACTGCTAACACGTTACCTTCTCTTCCTCCGTCAGTAACTTGGCCTTCATGATTGAGATGGCTCAAAAGGAACTCCAGAAATTCAGGTGATGGGATCGCTGGAACATCTGTGGTGAATCAAAGTGTCGTCAAACAAGTTTTCACACGTTTACTAATTCCATTTTTCCTTTTTTTGCCAAACAGGAAGCAAATTCAGGATTTAAACTGGCAGCGTAAGAATGATCAGTTAGCCGGAGGAGCCAAACTGAGAGAGCTGGAGTCAAAGTATGTTGCTTAAAAGAGTTTATATCACTGTACACGGAAATGTGTCGGCAAGATTCCCCCTCCATTGTAACATCTGTGTCTGTCCCTCAACAGCTGGGTGTCTCTGGTCAGTAAGAACTTTGAGATCGAGCGAGCCATCGTCCAGCTGGAGAACGAAGTAACTCAGCTCAGACAACAGCAGGGGGACGAGAACAAGGAGAATATACGCCAGGACTTCTAGATGTCACCCTCGCAGCACTGATCTACAAACTGGTGACCCCTCAATCAGAAAGATGTCGTCTTGTTTCATTAACCGACTGCACTAAGAAGCAACCTGGGGAGGGAAAGTCACCTGTTCGGAGGAGATTTAACGGGAAACGGCTCATGTTCAACTGCATCATCAAATAACTTTGACGTTCAGAAGGAGCGGCCCAGAAACCTCAGTGAAGACGCACATCTTCAGCCACTAATTCTACAGTGAAATATACAGTGAAATCTACAGTGAAATATACAGTGAAATCTACAGTGAAATATACAGTGAAATCTACAGTGAAATATACAGTGAAATTTTTCTTTTCTTTTGAACTTTACCTTTATTTCCCCAAAGGTAAAAGATATTTAAAGCGAGACTATGTACGGTTTTCAACAAGATAAGTCATCTTACAAAATGGAGAGTTGAATTAATATGCAATAAATTTAATAGATTTTGGTGATTTAATGCTAGCAAAATAGAAATGGATATTATGTTGTTGACATTTCTAAGTTGGTTTATTGGCTTTAGGATCATTTTTCTTCTTGTGCTACAGTTATTCTAGCATTTAACATTATTCCATAAATGTCCGAAGAAACATGTACATAATCTCGCTTTAAAGTGTAGTTCATAACCAGCGTGTAGGTTTCAGTCTTCGAGGCAGACTAGAATCGAGTGTACATAGTTTGTCAAGTCTGTCGGCAAAGTATCTCTGTGAGCCTCGCCTTGACTTCACGTACTTTTTTTTATGATGTTTTAATAAAATAAACATTTCTTGTATTTTCTAGTGTGGATTGGACTTTTTTCACATCAGAAAATCATATAAAATTCATATGATCACTTTTCTCTTTGTAATTCGTTGTCTCCTGTGTTCAGTCTCCTCTACCTTTATGCAACGGGACGGTGTCTACTGCATGACGGTACGGTAGATTCTCACTCCCCATATGATCAACAGGCAGCCTCTGGGTCAATTTCAATTTTTCATAGAATTGAAGGCCCAATTACCAGTTACAAAAACGCTATTAAACATTACATTGCGTGCTAAATCCTCGGCCTGCACAACAGGAGGAGCTATCTGACACTCATTGCTGGTGCGAGTATTCCCCGATGAGGCTTTTTATCATTCATCTACCGTGGTTTAATAATTTCACACAAACTGTTTGGCCACTCCAGATTAAGTCCAAGATATATCTAATTAGAATAACAAAGTCAAATACTTGATTACATATTAACTGATCGCACTGGGGAAACATTCAATGTGTACTCTGTAAAACATTGACAGGACTTTTGCAATGAGGGGGTTTAAATCCTTCAAGAAGTAATTTTGAAAGTAAACTTCCCGTGTTTGTTTTGTAAGCCTCTTGCTAAAATCTGCCTTATGTCTGTTAATGTCCAGTTTTGTATTTTAAGCTTATTTTCTCCAACACCAAAGGAAATTAATAAAAAAAACTTGAAATATGTCACAAGATGTCAGAAGTTGAGCTTGACTAATGTACCTCTAATTTGAAAAACAAAAACAGTAAATCATCATTTATTGCCACATTCCTTACACAGTGTGCATAACAATCATTAATCGCACGTCATCCTCTGCTAAGCCCAGCTGCACCAGATTGCCTGCGTGGTTGTTGTGTGAAGCCGGATGTCCAGCATAGAAGGAGAAAGGTAGCGCGGTAGGTAGACCGGATCTGTGGAGCTTCTGCCAACACTGAAGGTCATGCCCATTCACTGTCTTTTACAACTCACACACATCTCTCTCACTCACTCACTCACTCACTCACTCTCACACACAAGTTTGCAGGCACCTTTATACCGATTGCAAAGAAACTATAGGGTTGTGCAAAAACAGCGCCAGCCACCGGAAGCTAGAGTAGCGGTATGTCATTTTGGCCATGCTCCGGTCTATATGCTGAGAGTGTTGAGAGCTGGTACTAAAGTTACAGTCTCTGGCAGGTTCTGGTTCTGGTCCGGACCTCCTTTACTCTGGAGAAACTTCTGCCGATGCCTGTCCTCCTGACGCTTCTTCTTCTCCTGCCGCTGCTGCTCTTTCCTCTGCTTGTTAGATACCTGGGGGGGGGGGGGGGGAAGAGAATAATTGTTTTTTATTTCAGTAATTTCCCTGTAAATGAGGAGTGTTTTGATCAGGGCAGCAAACTCTGGGTCTGAAAAGTGAAGCCAATGCAGAAGTGCCCTAAACTTGCATTATTTATAATAGCCAGCAGGGGGCGACTCCTCTGGTTGTGAAAATGACCCTAATTCTCACTTGATTTATTCAATCAGTAAACATTGTAAACATGAGTTTATGATCTCAACTGCTAGTGTCAAGTCTTCTTCAATATAGCATGATTTAATTTAGTAAATTATGATCCATTTAGAGTAAATTAGATTATGTTTATGTGTTTTTAATTCATGAAAGGTAATTGTAACCATTCTGGGTGAAGTCAAGTATTTGTTTCACGACATATTAAATGACAAAAATGCTGCAGTCTGAAGGACTGGTCAGTTTGTGAGTGAGAAAAACATTCCAGTGAAATCTAAAATTAAAAATGAATTTGGATTGCAATTAATACAGCTAGACAGGCTGCTGATAAACCAGTCTACCTTTGGTTTTTGTACATTGCTGCCCTCTGCTGGCTGTCTGTGTTCGCTGCAGTCTGTGGCTGAAGCGCAGCAGTCTGAGCAGGACCCTGAGGCACTCTGGTCCTGGCAGGACTGGCACAGCACGGAGCTGACGAGCCATTCCGCGTTGATGGTCGCCGCACTCAGCTGGAGCAGGTTCTCCTCATCGCCTGGGGCAGAAAACACACACACACACACATGAATACAACCAGTCAGTGTGATCTGATCAATCCCGGTCACGTAAAGCAATAAGTCTACTCTAATACAGACTGACATTTTTATGGGATCAATAGAAAACGTAGCTGAATAGACGAGTTTGAATGCATGATGGTTATGAAGTTTGTCAAAAAAAAAAAGTCCCTCCTAGTCACTGATAGTAGTTTCTTTATGCCCCGACAGTCTAATTCTTCCGGGAGCAAATGAATCAAGTGGAGCTTCTGACCGTGAATTCCTCGATTCCTGATGGAGCTCAGGATCACGTTGTCCTCCTCTGAGGCTGTGGGAGACGGGTTTTTCCGTCTGTCCCTCTGGCCGTCCCCGAACGCACGCTGGTGGCCTTGTGATTTCTGAAGATTCTGGGAACAGCAATAGCGAGAAACACTAAATCTTCAATAGGTGCAAACATGACATGATGCACTCTTGAAATTGAAAGAGGTGGACCTGGAGTATACTTAATTGGGGATGTTTTCCCAAATTCTTATCCCCTGAATGCCCAACATACCTCTATGCGGAGCTGAGCAGGAATCTCAGAGTTGTCTCCAATCCGCCTCACGCTGTCATAATGATCGCCATAGCGGTAAGCGATGTGCAGCTCTCTGCATGCCGCCTTCTCTACGCCATTTATCTGCAACGAGAACAGCACATACAAACTAGGTGGTGTCCCAAAAGTGAGTTAGAATTCATCATTAGACTGCATCATCAATTAGGTGATATGATTTGAAAGTCTCTGCCTCTGTCCATACCTCCCACAGTGGTGTGTTGAGCTGATGGATGACCACTTTCACCTGTTGACCGCGAGCAAAAGCCACAATAGCATCGTTCCCAGCGAATGTACCGGGCTGAGAGAGGTTGGACACTGTGCGGAAGGAAAGAAAAACAATTACTGTGTGGTCTTACCCTGTGTGATCATTCTGTCTTGATCTTTCTACGGTTCCGTCACAGCAGATATGCTGTATAACTCCTAAAACCTTGTCAATATCCTCAACTGTCATTTAACCTTTTTTTATATATTTCAAAATTGATTATATAAGAATTGTATATCCATTTCATTGTAATGAAATAAAACATTTTAACTAGTTAAATCGGTCAAGAATTAAATTTCTGAAGTCAAGACAAACGCAAATGTGTTTCACAACCATGTTGGCTTGTGACACCTTAAAACAAAGCAATGTCTATGTGCATCCTTTATCAACAGTCACACATGTCGACTCATTGTGACCAGTTTAACCAAAGAGTGAGTTTCCTCGTATTTTATTTACTTCCTCCATTTTTTTAGAGGCCTGAAAATCAAAATGATCCCTCAATTCACAGGTAAAAAAAAAAGCAAACATCAGAGGAATGTCTGGGACATGCACTGACATGCAGCATCTGTCACTCCATTGCAAACAGAACAGAGCCACCAGGGGTCACTGTATAGTTGCTGGTCAACATTGTCCCACATGGTCACATAGTGATATGTCAGAATAGTTCATTGTGTTTGAGGATTTGTGTAAGAGCGTGTTTGTGTAAGAGTCTTCTATCTGATGACAGAATTTTCTTTTAATTTACTCAGTGGGTGATTCTCTTACAGTGCTGTGTAAAGGGAACGTCGTCCTCAACAAAGGGTTCGAAGTCTTGTCGATGGGACATCATATACTGGACAGTCTCCTGCCGAAGCCGCAGGTGACCCCGGGACTGACCCTCCAACTGGTCGCCTAGAGCTCTGAACAGGCAGTTCCTGCAAGAAACAAAGACTGGTGTGTCCACACATGACTGCCTCATAGTTAAGTGACTCAGTGTCAAGGTTCTTGGCCAGCATGAAGGTTATGTTGTGTTTAAGTAAAAGGCTTGTATTCCACTCGTGCATTCAACAGAGTTGGCATTAGCTGGCAAGCTTCTGGGTGTTGGAGAAAACAATGACTTAAGTCCTGAAGATCACAAGGCTCCCAAACCTTCTGCCCAGTAGTAAGCATGACTGATAGACAAGACTGTATAGTAAATCAATCAAACTCTCATCTGTTCAATAAGCTTTCCCTGGTTGTTTTCATATTGTAAATGACACAATACCGCCGTTATCGTCAGTTGGGGAAGACAAATCATGTTTCAACAAAGTGAAATTTGCCTCTACTGTGCAGCCACCATGCAACTACGAATACTTTGCAGTTAAATGTACTGTACATTGTTATTGATTGTGGGCTGGGCAGTTGAAGACATTATGTTCCTCATGATGAGACTGCTGTCTCCAGCTTGAAGCACTCTGTACATAGCAAAATTAAGGAGACACGTGTTGCAGCATCAGTGAGGGTGGTGGACAACACAGAGGGAAACAAAGCTCCGATAGAGCCCACAATCTTGTTTTTTTTTTGGCTCTTACCCATCTCCGGGGACTTCTCTCAGCTTGAGCCCCAGGGCCTGGAGCTGATTGGAGAAACTGATAAACTCTGCTCCTTCGTCGCCATCCTGAGGCCGGTTCTTGCGGTCCTTTACGATGGTCCTGCGTGCCGCCCGTTCATCCCTCTTGCGCTCCAGTTCACTCTTCTTGTTGCTCCGTACAGGTTTCGCCGTCTGCTTCCTAGACATGTTGGCTATAGTCGTTTCTGCAGGCCTACAACACCAAAATATGTCTTCTTATAGGAATGACCCGGCACCTGCATCAACCACTGCCAAACATCTGGAGCCGATTTAGAAAGACACAGAAACAGAATATTTAAAGAGATGTATTGTTTTCTTAAAACATCACCAAGTTTGTCATTTCAGCCAGTTAGTCGTCTGTGAAGCTGTAGTTTGAAAGAGATACAGATTCAGTCATAATCTGTCCCTGATGTAGAAGACGTTAAGCAAAACTCCATCAGGAGCTCTGACACTTTAATGCTGGGAGTCTTCGACCTTTCACGGTCCGATTCTCTGGTGCAAACATTCTAAATGTTATTTATTAAGCAACAATTTGTTGCAGTGTAATCCCTGCTTGGTTCACATTGCTAACTGATGTTCTCCGAGACGTGTTTCGATGAAAAGCATATTGTCTGAGTAACAGGATAGCTTAGTGAAGGGGTTTTGGTGTAAGTTAGATGTTTAACAAATTGAAGACTGCATGCAAGATAAAAGGGAAAAAAGTAATGTATCGGATTCTTTCACACTTGAGGGATGATGTTTCTTTTAGATAAAATGTGATATGGCCGAAACTGAAACAATATTAGCGTTTAATTACGTTGACTGTATTGTCACATTGTTACTGAAGCTACATTAGATAACAATAGGACGAGTTTCGTTATATAGCTAGCAAACGTTAACTAGTTAATAGTATTGTTGATAACTAGCACTAAGTGACGTTACTTGGGGTTTCATCGTTGTCAGGTTAGCTAACAAGAAGTCGACAGCTAGCAGTTAGCTAGCTAGCATACAACGGCTGGATATGAGCTAACGTTACATAACAACTCCTATCTCCCCGCTGGTAGCACTCACTATATAGTAAACAAATGGAAAACGTAACAGTTAATAGATGTATGCTTACCCTCAAAAAGCTGCGTTCTACAAAAATATGACCATGTTTCGTTTTCGTTTCTTTTTTGGCTCAGGAGATGAATGTAGTGAGTGTAGTGTCCGTTTTTGTTTACAACTTAACTTCCGCATACGTAATCCATGTACGTCAAAAACGTACGGAAGCGGGAATGGGCCAAACTAAAGACGTTTGCATCTACTAACTACACCAAATAAATATTAATACAAACGTCTTGACAAGTTTAAAAGAAGGCTTTGAAAGAATTATACGTGGATACGTAGATTGTCTATCTATCTGTCTGTCTATCTGTCTGTCTGTCTGTCTGTCTATCTATCTATCTATCTATCTATCTATCTATCTGTCCATCTGTCTGTCTGTCTATATATCCATCTATCCATCTATCCATCTACGTATCTGTCTGTCTATCTATCCATCTATCCATCTATCCATCTACGTATCTGTCTGTCTATCTATCCATCTATCCATCTAATAGTTGTCACAAGTCGAAAACTCTGAGTCATCATATATTGCAGACTGTAACTCAGGACAAAGTAGGAGGTTCAGTTACGATTTTGAAAAAGATGTTGCTTCTGAAAATCCCTCCACACTCGGCTCTCTTCAACTCTTACAAAATCTGCTCACTACCAACTCCTTCTGATGACTCCACACAGTTGATGAAAATAATGTGGGGGAGGAGTGGGCCGAGAAGCAATAAACAGGATATTTGCTATGTAAAAAGACCAGCAGACACACTGAGACAAAAAAAAATACCCGTAAGACATAAAATTGCATCAGAAAACAGAAGGAAACAGTAAGACTATACTACTTCCTAAACCTGAAAAATTAAATAAAAAAATGTATATCAAACCATCTGGCGTAACAGAAACCGAACATACATATGCAGACGTCAGCTGGTGTGTGGTGTATTACAGAGCGTAGTGAGTGATGGCATTGTGTGTTAGCAGATGTAATGGCCTGACGGCTAGCCATGCATTTGTGCATTTGTAGCAATCAGCGTCAGTCACCTGAGTGGAACAGTGGAGCGGCCAGCCAAGCGTGGACAACATTTTTACTGTAGGCCTTATGTTGTACCATTATGTCAACTGATTTCACAATGTTATATTTATGACTGATGTCCTTTTCTGGAGACACTTACAAATTTTTGACAGCTTCACTGACTTGTATATATATATATTACGGCTTATGTCAAACTGTTTCTTCCCAGCTGAGCTCTTCCAGTGTAGCACAGTTGTTTTTTGCTTGAAACCAAATACAATATTTTCCGTTTTTGGTAAATGTTGGGATTTTAATGCAGGAGATGGTCCACAGGAGGTAGACAATATTACTGTGGGTACACTCAACATTTTCTAGCACACTGCTAGTGGCATCTGCATGCAGATAGTGAACAGCAATGTATCTTTCCAGAAACAGGGTCATTTGATTCCCGAGGCTCTTGACATATTAATAATTTTGTTGTTTTTATTGTATGCATGTTCCGTCGCATCGCATTTATCTGGAGCTTTATTTGTTGTCTCATGTCGCTTACGATTGGTGGACCACTTTTGTATTTGTGATTTTTTTGGTTTTAATTCTTTTTTATAATGTTTACAATACCCCCATTCTACCTCCTGTAGATTTTAATTAGAGTCTCCTACACTGGTGCCCAGCTTGGCTGTGTTTCTTCACTGGGGGAGGTTGAAGGGAAGTAACACTGCATGCCTGAAGATAGCAGATGTTTTCTGTACCAGCAAAGGGCGTTTTCTAAAGAATATTATTATATATATATTTATATATAATATTATTTTGTCACAATGTTTTCATTTTAGTACATAAAGCATGTAAAACGTTATAGTTTTTACAACAAATCAGAAAATGCATTCCACTACAGCAGCTGGTAAATGCAGGTGGCTGTGTGATCGTTGACCATTTGTGCTGAAACAATGTTCAACACTGGCCATTGTAGTGATTACACAGATGAACAAAACATCTGTCAACACATTGTTTACTGAGGCTGATTGGTTGGTCTAATTGACGCATTTGGACGCTGTTGGACTAGATTTTACCTTGACGTTTCTCCTGCAGGTTCAAATTTGATTGGATGCTTTTATAGTTTGGTCTGAATACATAACGGCTGGTCAAGTTATTAGGTCTTTGAGTTTTGGATGAAAGATATGTTAAACAATGCAAATTTGGGATTTCTGAATTTTCCCTTTAGTGGTTTAAAGAAAGAATATATTCCGTAAACAAGTTTAGAGTGTAGAATTTCTTCGTTGTTTTTTTTAATCAAAGATTTATTTTGGACATTAAACATGCAGGATAGTAGAAGTAGAAACAGCGTGAATGGCGCAGAAACGGAAGAGCTGCAATGTCTGGAAGAGGAATAGAAAGCAAGGGCGTTTATGTGTTGGCCTGTAATATCGAGCCTCTGGAGCAAAAGGAGGTTAAATCATCACGAGGAGCACCATTCTTGAAGCCCTCCGGCGCATCTGCAGGTACCCACTATAAATAATGAGCCTACAGGCCGATGCCACAAAGGCAGTTTGCAGTTTCCCCCCTCTCACACCGCCCACCGTACACACTCTCTCTCTCTCAAACACACGCACGCGCACAGGCGCCGCCGCGCACGCGCACGATAGAGGTGGGAGTGGATGCTCGTGTAGCTGCTGGAAGCCGGGATGGGATAATCATGCGTGTCTGGCTCCTGGCGTTGATGCAGCTGCCGTTGCTGGATCCGGACTGGACTCGGGGCGCAGGGTGGGTATAATTCCCGACTGGAGCTATCTGGACCTCGATGTCGATGGTATCAAGCATTCCCAGAACGACGAGGGCGATGGCCGTGAGAGGAGTCGGTGCAGCTCTGTGAAACGTCCAAGGCGAGAGAAATTGACCGTTTTCGCCGATGGAGGACAGAATTGGCCGGCATTAAAGCGCAGCCCCAGGTTTGGAATAACTTGGAAAACGGAAGAGAGGATACCGAGGCACCCCTTAGAGGATATTGTGGGAGCCCGTCACTTGTTTTCTTTATGTTCTTTTTCAACTGGGATAGAGATAGACACGCGCCGGGAAGAACAGCTCACTTTTGTATCGGTAATTAGGAGAGAGCTGCCTCCTTGGAACCGCGTCCGACCTACCGACCGACCGTGGTGGTGGTGGAGGGTGGGGGGGGGGGGGGGGGGGGCGGTGGGTGGGGGGGGGGGGGGGGGGGGGGGGGGGGGGGGGGGGCGTGGGTGGG